TTCCGACTGGTTTCTCAGGGCTCTGAAAATTCTCCAAGGGTGCATAATCATGGTGTCTCTCATTAGCTAGATGAAGACAGCAGAGCTCTCTTACAGCTAAACAAATCCTTCTATTTAAGTCACTCCTCATACTCTGGGGAGCTTCAGCCTCATGATTATCTGTGGGCCTCCACTGTACTTTCGTCTGTAGATCAATGCTGTTGTTCTTGTATTGGGGCAACCAAAATTCCCAATGCCACTAAGATGATTAAGGAACTGGAACATCCATTGAATGAGGACAGGCTGAGAATGCTCGAGGTTTAGCCTAGAGAAGAGAGGGTTCAGGGGGATCTCATCAATGTGTGGTAATACTTGAGAGCAGAGTGCAGAGGGGGTGGAGCCAGCTGCTTTTTGGTAGTGCTCAGTGACAGGACCAGAGGCAGTGGGCATAAACTGGAGGCTCTGTATGAACATCAAGAGCCACTTCTGCACTGTGAGAGTGATGGAGCACTGGCACAGGCTTCCCCCGGGAGCTGTGGAGTCTCCATCCTTGGAGATATTCAGAAGTCAAATGTACTGTTCAATGACTTTGCATTTGCCTTTGTTCAGTTTCAAGAGCATTCTCTTGTCTTTTTCCTCCAGTCACTTGAGATCCCTCTGAAGATCACCCTTGTCCTTCAGCCAGTTGGGTACTCCCTCATGCTTCATCATCCATGATGCTCCAGAATATGCACTCTGTCCCATTCTGCTGCTTGTTAATAAAGATGTGAAAGAGAATTAAATGATGTTAAAGAGTGGATAAAGACCCACTTTTGATATCTGAGGAATGACAATAGTAACTGTCTACAAGTTAGACTTAATATTACTGATCAGAACACAATTTGTATGAGAATCCAATTGATTTTCCATCTACTTTATCCATTTATTTAGCCTGTGTCTCACCAATGTTGCTATAGTGATATTACAGGACACTATCAACAGCTTTGCTAAAATCAAAGTAAACATCATATATTACTCATCCTTTGCCCACTCGCCCTTAGTGACATTATCACCAAAGGCATTTAGGTTGGTTAGACCCAGTTTATCCTCAATGAATCCACACTGGGTGTTTTCGGTCACCTTTTGGTCCTTTATGTGCTCAGAAATGACATCTCAGAAGGCTTATTCCAGAACCCTCCTAGGAGCAAGGCTGAGTGGCACGTGGCAACCTGGTTCCTCATTGCTCTCCTTGAAGATGGCCTTTTTCCAGTCATTGGGACCTCCCACAATTCCTATAATCTTTTGAAGACTGTGGAGAGAAGCCTTGCAATGCAATCAGCCAACCAAGACAGTTGATGGGCCTATCTAGGCCCATGGACTTGTATATACACAATTAGCTTTAGTATTTTCTGATTTTTGTGGATTCTAATCATTGTTGTGGGCAATGCTTTACTCCTACAGACTCTGCTACTGACATGAAGGAGCAGGGACACCTAAGAAAAAGCTTTGCCAATAAAAACAGAAGCACAAAGGCATTTAATACCTCAGACTTTTCCATTTCATTTATCACTAGATCCACTGTCCTGTTAAACAGCCACCTCTTCACCTCTTCTTTCGTTTTTGTTTTTGTTTTAGTTTTTGTTTTTTGGGTTTGGTTTTGGTTTTGGTTTTGGTTTTTAGTTTTGTTTTTGTTTCTGTGGTTTTATTTTTTTGTTTTGTTTCTTTTTTGCTGCTGGTATTGAAATCTTCCTTATTTTTTGTTTTCATATCTCTAGGTAGTTTTGGATTCTGCTGAGCCTCGGTTCTCATACCTCCCTGTTCAGATAGTGTGTCTCTCAATTCAAGTAGTCTGTTGCAAGGTCCATCTCTTGTTGTCTTCTGCCATACTTGCTTGTTTTCCTGAGTGTTAGGAAGGACCATTCTTGTGCTTTGATAATGTTATCCTTGAAAATCATCCAGCTGTTCTTGGCCCTGTTGTCCTTCATGGCAGTATTCCACGTGTCCTGACATACAGGTCCCTGAATGAGGCAAGATCTGCCTTCTTGAAGGCCAGGATAGTAATTTTTTAGATTAATCTTGCTCATTTGACTCAGGATTTTAAACCCCGTAATGCTGTAGTCACTGCAGCTAAGGTTTCCCTCAGCTTTCACAACCTCAACTGATTCTTGCTTCTTCATGGAAGCAGGTGCAACAGAGTACCTACTTAGTTTGTCAGTAACTTGTATCAAAAAATTGTCATCAGTATGTTCTCCCCACTTAAATAATTTTAAATAATTGAAATATATGTACTAGACCCTGAACTGGAGTGACTTAGCCTACCTTTGACATTATTAGACCCATGTGCTTGTATGTTTTCATAAATAAATATCTGACCTCAAGTCCTAGAGGGTTTTTGAGAAACTATTTAAGCAGGACAAAGTTTTGGTTAGAAAGACTGACTGGGTCATCAGTTTTAGGCATGTGCTGTCAAAGTGTGTTGTATGAGTTCGTTTGCATCCTTTTGAGAAATTATTTCAGCGTTTTTTGCGCCTTTTGCTTATACTGGAAGAATGAGAACATTCTGGTTCTACTAGGCAGACTTCCAATTTCTGATACAACTTCTTCCTATTTAGTATGCATTTCTTCCTGAGGGTCTAAATTACCCTTTAATTTAAAAAAAAACTTTACTTATCTTTGGCATTTATTGTTCTGATATTTATGGAGACCCTAGTCCTGTCTCTTCAGGCTGTTTTGCTGTGATAAACAGTCCAAGCTGGTTTAAGCTGCCATACAGAGATAGGTTCTTTATTCCTTTGATTCCCAGATGCCAATCTATCTCATCTCTTTTTTAATTACTCTTTATTGGATATGAGTGATAGAAATCTACACCAACTCCAGATGAAATCTGTTTAAATCCTGAAGAGAGTTTCATATGCTTAAAATTATGCTCACTTTGAAATCACTTAAGGCCATTTCATTCAACCCCCTTCACTAACTTGTTCATTTGTGTCATGTATAAACAGTGAAAACTAGATTTAATTGAAAAATTGCTAAGATTTTGTCACTTTTTTTAATACCAGATTTTTGCTATATTTTGTGGTATGTGGTACCAAGAATCATAGTTTTTAATGAATATGGGCAGAATGGCAGTGCTACATAATCCTTCCATCTTAAGCACTGAGCATTTATGCATAAATTGACCTGTGGACATATGTGTGTTTAGTGGGAGAAACATAAACACTTTGCCTTAACACCGTAGACAACAAGCCTTTGAAGCGGTCACATACATATTTTTTAATCCTGCATTAAGGGTTGTTCTGTGCAGCCAATTAATTTGTGTAAGAACCTCAATAAGATGTTTTTAGAGTTTTTCAAAATATTTCTAATTAAAATGAGGGGACCTATACAATTGAAGTGGAAGCAAAAGCATTGTGGACCTTATATTCTTTTATTTTTATAAATATTTGCATTTTTATTACACAGTACTTAATACCACATGGTGAAATGTGATATTGGATCAAAGCCCTTGTTCACGCTGTAGCTGAGACTTGTTTAAAATGGCTGATTTATTTGCAGTATTCCATGATACTCCATACTGTTGAGCTAAACATATTCCAGTTAGCTCCAAATATATGATATTGTCTGGAATTGTGGACAAAAGAAAGGCTTGCTATGACATGTAGTTTAATGTATAGAGCTGGTGATGAAAGAGCTGTAAGAACATCTAATAAAAATAAGAAGGTACTCTGATATTCTCAAGGTCTGGGAACAAATAGGCTAGATGACAATATTCTAAAGTGGGACTAAATGTGGCTGGATGACTTAAAACTGATCTGTGTTGGTAGCTGTTTTATAACTTGGCAGGTTTATCAGCTTTGGTTCTGCAAGGATTTATCCTCTGCTGTGCATTATTATGTGTCATTAAAAATTTGGATGATGGAACAGAAAATGCTTATTTAATTTACTGGCAATTCTGCACAGAGGAAGAGCTGCAGATATTGGAGGGCACTGTCAGAGATGACAATTAATTAAACAATTAAATAATCTAAGGGAAAAAAGTAATTCCCCAAAAAGAATGTGGTGAAGAGAGAATCTAGGCAGGGGGAGTTGTAAGGATGATGAGTGTTACAGCAGTTCTGATAGTAGGAGAGGGTTTATTTATTGTGCATGTGTGTAGTTTTCACCACTGTAAGAAATCTTATCTTAAAAACATGCTGAGAAGACAAGAATTACTTTTATTTTTTGGGTGGTTAACTGAGAGCTCAGTAATTTCTGAATGTCTAAATTGAGAGTCTCATCACCTGGCTTATAGTCATAATTTATGTAGTATTTAAATATTTAGTATTTAGCTTCTGCTAACTGAACTTCCACCTTTATTTTAGAGGTCACTCCTTTTGAAAATCAGGCTTTCCAGATGTTTTAAATTATACAGCCATCAAATTAAGGACTCTAAAGTTGTGGGGGTTGGGGGTTGATCTGTGATAGAGACAAAGATAGAAACAGCTATGGAATACTTACATGGAAGCATGTAAGTATTTGGACTCCAAAAATGCTTTTTCTCCTTAACCCTTCCAGTCAGTGTCTCCTGTATAATTTGACTTCAATGTCCTGTTCATAGCAACCTCTTCAAGGCTTTGAATTTCCATGCCACTAAGCCAAGATCCCTGCTTCCTTCATAAAGAGCTATGCAATACTTAATATCAAAATATATGGAAATACATATGTACATAAATTCTGACAAGGTTTAAAGGCTTGGTTTCTAAATTCTGAAATTTCTTAAGATGTTTAAATTTTAGAATTATAGAATATTTTAATGTGATTTTTTTTTTTAATTGTTAATTGAAGTTCTTAACATTTAAAGTGCTCTGTAGTTCCTGGAGTACTATAATTCTCTTCATACACTATAAAATAAAAGATCTAAATAGCTAAGTAACTCTTTTTGTTTTCCATATCAGATTGTGGAGAACAATGCTGGTTTTTTTCCAGGTTTCACATGATAATTGATGATCCAACTTGAAATTCACAATCTTCTGGTAAGTCTGAAGTTACTTGGAAAGTAGATTTGGGTTATATTCTAAAGTATGGAGTTTTTTCATTAAGAACTCTTACATATGTCTCATCTAGCACACTGGATTTACAATGTTAATTTCTGTAGTCCTATGTATTATAGTTTTTATCTCTGTAGCCTTGTACAATATGAATAATGTTGAAGAGTCTTGATAGGGCTTCTGCCTAGTCTTGTTCAATTAACCACTGTCAAATTGTCCAAAAACAAATCCCTATTTCAGATTAATTCTGAATATTTAGATGGCTACACCAGCAGTTCTAGCAGTGTCATTTTAGCTCACTTGTATTTTTCTCCCACCCCCCACTGCCGTTTGTTTTACATTCTGGATAGGGGTTTTGCGCAAAATTAGGAAAATAACCCTGTACCAAAATTTACATCCTGAAAGCAATAAAACTTAATAGAAACCACATTTGTGATGGGCTGCTTGTTAACTGTAATCTATAGGATCACTGCAAACATATTATGTAACAGATATCTCATTCTTAATCAATGCAGGTTGAGAAAGTTGGCTTCAGAGGCAGAGGAAGCGAATAGAGGCAGAAAGGAGGGCTACGACTTAAGGGGAGAATCTGGTAGATTTATATTTTTATGATATTTTCAGGTTACTTGTTGAGGAATGCCATCATTCTGCTCTGTTGTTTCTTACTGTAAATTGATTATTTGATTGTCTTGGTATTTCATAAATATTTTTATATTGCAGTGGCTTATTAATAGCTGACCTACTGTTAATTGTACAGGAACTTGTGTAACACAACCCAGTGCTGTCCAGTATAAATGAGTGGAGACTGATCTTTAGAAAAACTTATATACCTAGAATCTCAAATTAAACAATAGACTTGAGCCTGTAGTATAACATACTACTATGCTTGCTGTACTTTCCCCTACTTTTCTTACAGGAAAGTGCAGTAAGCATAGAATATTTGCTTTTTAATGATTTTTCTGTCTCAGTGACTTCTCTCTTAAGCTGAATATAAACTACATTTTAGACCAGACCTTCAGTTGGCATTATTTGCCATACCGTTACAGGCTTTTCCTTACATGAGTTTAAGTGCTGGTACATCAGCGTGCAACATTTTTACTCAATCTCTCCTGTAAATATTTTAAAATCTTCTATAACCTGGAGAGACTGAGTTATGTATGAGGCCAAATTACAATAAAAATGAAATATATTCAACAAAATTAGTATTTTTTCCCCAATGGTAATATTAGGTAGTATTACCATGTTCAAGGGTTGAAATATAGTAAGAAAGGTGGAGAAAAATTGCAGCTTTTCACTTATTCTGAAAATTCTGTAGAATAAAAGTGTATCTGAAGGAAGTAATTAATTTAGAATTCCTGGGGACTTCATCCTATATAATAGACATGATAGCCAGATACAAGAGGTTTAACATTCAGCAGGAATTACAGTGAAAGCCTGTATTAAATATATACACTATATGTAGTGATAGAATTGTTCAAGCACACTATTAAAGTTGCTAATAAAAGACTAAGCAGCTTAAAACCATTGTAAAGTAAAAAACTTTGATTTATTGCATCACTTCAAAAATTTAAGGAGGGAGGACTTTCTTCTTTCTTCTTCAGTGTTCCTGTCTTAAGAACAGCTTTGTGTTTTGGAGTTCTCCCCTCCACCTTGCCTTCTTGAGCCACCTTTACTTTAAAAATCTTGGTTTACATCAGGTATTATGAAAAAAATATTTACTACTGATAAGGCACTGGAGGCTGATGAGGCACAGGAACAAGTGGCCAGAGAGGCTGTGGATTCCCCATCCCTGGAAATGTTCAAGGCCAGGTTGGATGGGGCTCTGAGCAACCTGGTCTAGTGGCAAGTGTCCCTGCTTATGGCATTGGGGTTGGAACTGGGTGATCCTTAAGGTCCCTTCCAACCCCAATGCCATTTTATGATTCTATGAAGTAAATAAAACCTTCCTCCATGGGCTGTTACCTTTTATTTCCATACTTGAAATATCATGTGAAATATAATTTTGTGTGTAGAAGAAGTGCTACCCTTCTGCAAGATGATTATTCTCTTTTCCTGATAATAATGAACAGTGCAATTTTCTACTAGGTCATAAGAAATTGCGAATAGCATAGGTATTTGAAATTTATTTATATAAGAATTTTGAAAGTTAAAACTACTAAACCCAAACTAAAAGGATAATTGTATTTATAATTTAGAAAATAAATATCTGAAGCAGAAGGAATGAAAGAATTTCCATCATTTGCCACTTGGCCATTAAGGCTGTAAACTTTTATGTCACACAAGAGAATCTTTCAAATTTTCCCATCTCAATGAAAATTCTTTTCTTTCTCTATTTCAGAGTTGTCAAGTTCACTAGTAGAATAAACACAAAGTAGGATGCTTGGACTCCTTCAGATTTAGGCATCTCATGTAGGCAAAGTCAGTGGTGTGAGGTCAGTTTGTCCCCTGATTTAGTAAAAGTGAGAGTCTCTGGTCTTTTTCCTATTTAAAAGGCCCGGTTCTGGCACCTGAAAAATAGTTGCTAGGCTAAAGAATAAAATAGACATTCTTCTACAGCTATGTCTGTATTTAAAATGCACATATTGTAAGAAGTGGAGTAAGAATATACAGACTTTAATCAATGGACAAATACGCAATAATGACCAAGTTTCTGGGGGAAAAAAGGAAAGAAACAAGACTGTAATTGTGTGCAAAGAGCTTTAGGTTATTATTTCAATTGAAAAAGGTTATTTAAAAATGTACTTGGGTAAGAAAATATGCAAAATATTGGACTGAATATTTCTCCTGTTGGCTTATTGAACTTTAGCTGTCCTCACACATGACAGTGATGCTGCTATATAAGAAGAGAATGGTTTCTGAGGCCAACCCGAGGCTATGTGTACAGTGTTGTGAAGTAGGGTTGTTGCTCTAATCCCAACTCATATGTCAGTTGGAAATAAAAGAGAATTCATTCTGTCAAAATACTGTAGTAACAAGCAAAAACTAAAAAAACATTTGCAGAGGAATATGCAGAATAATGTATTATCCTACTGTAGCTATGAAGATTTCCTCTTGTTCAGTAAATTTTCTCTTTTATTGTTTTTTCTTATTTTTATTTTTTCTCCCTCTTTTTTAACATATGTTTAGCATATTTCTCCCCCCTTTTTAACAGACTTGGTTTTTACACCCTTCTGAATTATTTCCTTAGATTTAGCTATAAATATGTATTTTCTGGAAATTAAAGTTGTTTTGACAATAGAGGAAGATTAATAAGCTCTTTATGTGTCACTACTAGCCCTTCGCTGTGCAGCCTGCTCAGCTATTTCTGTTGGCACTTAGCAGAGCTGGAGTTTTGCCTAGAGTAGCACAATCTTTTTATGTGCTGGAGAAAAGCTAGTCACCACTTCAGCTATATGATATGCTGCCTACTGCTATGTAGGGACACAGTTGCAGTATTTGTGACAGTGCCCTCATCTCTAAAGCTCTGTGATGTCCACACTTTATAACTTTTTTCAGAACAGTTCTCTGTATTCCTGGTTTTTATGTGTTTTGATGGTTTCTTTCAGCTTCTTACTCTCAGTCAGTGCCTGACTTGACTACTTGCTTAGAGTTGTCATGCCAACTCTCAAGCTTGAAAACTGAAGTAGAGAGAGTATTTATCCTTTTTTTTTTTTTTTTTTTTTTTTGTGTGAAGTACTCACTTCACAGTTACCAAGCTGCATGAACTGAATGCATAAGTATGGTAAACAGCTCTGTGACACTGGTCTGACACTTCCAAATATCTGTTTCTATTTTGTGAAGACTTTGAACATCCTTTATTCCTGCTGCTTGTCTGCATGCTGAAAACCAGGAGAACTAAAAAAAAAATCAATGATGTGGGGAAGGAATTTTATAGACAAGTTGTCACATTTTTAATTAAACTGAACTGCAAATATATATCAAATACCCTACATAAAAGTATATGTTTAAAAATCCATGAGTCTGTTCAATCTTTTTGAAAGTCAGATATTACTCAAACTGATTCACTTTTCATGACAAGTCAAGCAATATTTATGTGTATCAGCTTTCCAAGTAAACAAGTGAAAAATACAAGAGAGGTACAGGAAATCAAAAATGCAAACTCTTAAGTCCTTATATGGAAGTCAGCTGCAATCATTATGCTTTTTAGTAATGTACGTAACAAATACATAGTTCAATGAAGAAACCTGTTCTCTTAAATTAACAGTAGTTTTAATAAGTTTACTGTAATTGACAGATACATTCAAGGGTGAATTGCATTGGAAGATATAATGTGTTTAAAGGAAATTGCTTTAAAAAGGAAGAAACATGGAAATTTCATTTTTGGTAATATTGCTCTGTGGAGATCCCTGTGGAGGTAAGTTTGCTCTAGTTTTCACAGGAACCACCTGTATGGCTTGTGTACTATTGTATCCATCTTCTGCTTTTCTTAAGTTAAAAAATATTTCCTTTTAACTTAGGAAATAATTTGAAGGAATAAATGGAATTAATCTTTTATTTGAAATTGAGCTTTCCAGGCTGCAAACTGTTATTGAGAACATGCTTTTATTTTGTATTGAGTTTTAGAGAATCAAATAAACTGGCTTAGCCTTTTCAGAATTGTTTAATAGTAAAGTTTGCTTTAACTGAGCTTGTTCTAAAGTGGAAGGCTTTTATATCTCCTTGGAAAAAAAAAAAAAAAAAAAAAAACCCAAAAAAACCTGAGTTATCCAAAGAAGCTTTAACTTAGTAGACAGCTGGGTTCCAGAGCTGTACTAAATATTATCTATACTTTGACAACCTTGCAATAATCTCAGATAATTTAACTCCAAATACAGGAGACTCTGCAGTTTATCTTGACTTGCTCTGGCCCTTTATACAGACAGAGGAGGAAAGGTAATTGCATTTGTTGAGAACTTCAGGCCTTAGTGGTTGTGGATAACTGCAATAGATGTTAAATCTAAAAGGATATAGAGACCATTTGTAGCTCTTCAGATGCCTGTAAAAAAGGCCAAGTTACAAACTGCCATAGGAAGAAATATGAAGCATTGAAAATATCTTGGGATCCTGCGGTAACACAATCTTTGACCAATAGTTTCTGCATGATCTTTAGAAGTGTGTATATGGTGTATATGTAGATGCTAAAGCAAGAAATCCCTGACAGGATTTATCCTTCTGCTCCCAGTTCTGATGCCTTAAGTGGGGATATGAACCATCCTTGGGAGGCTTTAATACTTTGAGGAGCACCAGCACAGCCCATCTTGTTTATTTCATCTAATGCTTTCTATCCTAATACTTGTCCTTGATGAAACAGGTAATAAACCACATAAAAACAGATGATCAAGCAGCAAGATGACCAAGAAAGATTGTTTACATTCTATGTCTGCCAAGAGGAAATAAACTCTAGTCTTCTATTCTAGGAATGCAGCTTTTAAAAAAAAACAAAACCTTACTTTCACATCATCTCCTTGGTACTTCCTTTATACTGAATTTTATGCATTTTTTCCTAGCTAGATTTATTGTAAGAAGACCCTGGGATGGGATGAGACAGAGGCAATTAGAAGAGCTAATCAGCTGGAATGCTGAGAACCATTGCTTTGGAGGCCTCCCATCCACGCGGCACCGTCAAATGCACTTTGCTCAGCAAAGGACAGCTTGTTTGTTTTGGCCATGCCTCATGTGAGCAGAGATATGAAGAGCCAGGGAATCTAACTGGATAAAGAACATCTACAAATGATGTTCTCTTAATGTGTATTCTATCCAAAAAAGCCTTGATGTTTGTCTCAACTCTGGGCTTAGCTGCACAGGCAGGTTCATTCAGAATTAACATTGTTTCCTATAAATAAAGGGGGTCAAGAGTCTATTTCATGCTAACCCCAGCGTAAACTATTTCTAAAAACAAAAAAAAAAAGAAAAAATATTGTCTGATATATGTAATTCCATTATGAAACTAATTTTAAAAATTGTTTAGAAGTTTAGTTAAGTTTTTTGTTGTTTGAATCTTGCCTATATTTCTGTGTGTGTGTTTTCTAGGGTAAGAAGATGGACTAATTTTGCAATCTATCAAGAGAGTATGAGAAATAAATTGCCTGCTGCCCCATGTGACATAGAGGCTAAAAAGTTAAATATAAAATTTTGAAGAATATGCTAGGTGACTTTAGAGAGGTAATGCGGTCATATTGCTGCAGAAGGAGATATTTGTTACCAGTTCTGTGAATTAAGTTACAGTCTAGGACAAAATAATTTGCCTTTCAGTTTGATAATCTTTTTCTTAAGCAGAAGCATCTTTTTAATTATTTACTGTCATGAATAGCTGGTTATTACAGTTGTATAATTTCTTCATTCTGCATGAATTTTCATTCTGTACTCTGTTGTAAGGTGGAATAGACACAATCTTTAAGTTGTTTCCAGAGAGAAAAATAGATACAATTTTAAGAACATAGAGTTGGAGAAAATTTGCTTTTGGGACAAATTCACATTTAATTCAGTTGCTTGAAAGCATAAGCTGAGTTTTCTGTCTTGTACATGTGCTTTGCATGGAGTTGATAGCTGATATCATGTCCAAGGAGATATTACTGTAATACCTTTTATGAATCTTCTGTCTCATAGATTCAACTCTTGATAGAGATTTTGTTCTCTGCAGCCTTTTTCTAAGCTAAGAGAAAAAATAAATCTATCACAGAATGACCTATGGTATTTTATATTTATGATAGTCTTCAACAAGGTAAGCAATAAGTTAACAGCCAGTACTTCACAGTCTAGAAACTGCAAACATTTGTATCTGTATGTCCCTTTATGTGAATTTGCATTTGTTTGGTAAATTAAGATAATATTAAATTAAGATTCTAATTCTTATGTATTGTACTGCAAACTATTTTCCTCTCAAAGCTGTTTAACATTTATACCATTGTTGCAAATTTAATTTTACGAATCACAGAGTTTTAGTATGAATTATTACTTGTACAATACACCACAATAAACCAACCAATTAAGCTTTCCTAATTGACTTTCTGCACTGACTGTTGTTGGGTTGATTCAAACAATTTTTCCTCTCTTTTTTGTTGCTTTCATATTTTATGCAATGGATTTTTATGATTTGGCTTCCAGTTTTTTGAGATTCTTTGATCTCCTGTTTCTGTTAAACTTACCAGGAAAGAATATGTATGATCTGTCCTGGCTCTTAACTGCTGTAAGTAAGACCAGGGTACCATGTTTCCAGATTATGGAGAATATATTAGAAGACAGTGAGATTTCAAATATATTTTCATCTTTATGTGTAGTGTATTTTATCCCCTCTGTTTTTCAATATTGACATTATATTTAAATAACAAAAAGTCTTTTTTCTCCATGACTATTATGCGTCAGACCAGCTTGTCAGCAGTTTGGACACTGGGGATAAGAAAGCCTAAACTTGAAGAGATTTAGCTTTTCATACATATATCACCAGTCTAATCTATGAAAATTTCATTTTGTAATAACATGTGAGGTAAAAACCCTTTTCTGATTACTCATATAACTTCAACATTTTAAGGAGGGAGTTAACACTTCTTCAGTGTTACCTTTGTGGTTTTGGGTTTTCCTCTCCACTTGTCATTCTTGGGACACCTTTACTTGAAAAATCTAGGTTTAGATTAGGGAAAAATTCTTTACTGTGAGGGTGATGAGGCACTGGAACAGATTTCTCAGAGAAGCTGTGGATGCTTCATCCCTGGAAGTGTTCAAGGCCAGGTTGGATGGGGCTCAGAGCAACCTCGTCTAGTGGCAAGTGTCCCTGCAGGGATTGGAGCTACATGATCTTTAAGGTCCCTTCCAACCCTTAATATTCTATTCCTAAAACTCAGCTGTATTCAGAGGACAGTGTATTACTGTCATTTTAATCACTGCCCTAAAGTGAGCTCAACAAATTTTCCAGGATCTGCAGCAACCTGGATTTGGAAGCCTATGTTCCCTGACTGTCTAGGACTACAGAAAGGTAATCGGAAAACAACTGCCTACTGACTCTAAATTATATTGCCTCTCCTCAGCTGCAGGGATTGTAGCTCACCAGTTTTTATCAGCCCAAACTGTAGTGCTGCACACTCTCTGAAATTTATTTTTCATTTTAAAATCTCACTTGAATGCCACAATTAAGTACAGTCAGTTGGCTGTAACAACTCTAAATACACCTCCATGGACCCATCTATAGAAATTCAAACTCTCCCATCCATCCAATCCTTTCCTACAACTTCTTTGTTTAGGAGAATAAAGTCTTTCACTGCATTTGGGAAGTGTAGGTAAGTAATTCAGTGCTACTTACACAGAGACACTCCTTCAGTGTTAATCAGGGGTAGAATCCCTCTGATTCAATAGGTTACTCTTCCTCCTGAGCTGCTTTTTAAGGTGTAGTAGTGAATATGTCTTTTACAGCCTACTGAAGTACAGAGTAAATTTTTCTTATCTCCAAAACACCATACAGTACAAAAAAGGTTGAAGTTGCTGAATTTCTTGGATTGGCTAGTAGGGGATTTTGAAATGGCAATTAGGAAAATGGTTTCAAGTGCCTTTAAAAATATAAAGATTGAGATTCCCTCTTTCTAATAGTAATCTATGCTATGTATCCAGTTTGCTTTTGCGAATAGAATATTAATGACTTTTGAAAATTGTTAACCACATTGTTAAGATACATTTTTAAAAAGCATACACTTTACCAACTAGAAAATTGCAAATAATTACTCCTATAACATTCACTCTATTGAAAATTTTTGAATGGATTAATCATGTCAAAAACTGAGTACAGCTAACTCAGTGTATATTAGTTGCATACAGCTTCAGCACAACTAAATACTTCAAGTACCCAAGGACATCTGAATGGTTATTCCAGCTATATATAAGATCTGTTAACTAATCTTCACTGTTTAAAGAAAAGTGAAGCCCACTCAAGTAAAATAAGAGGAAATCTGACTTTCATTACAGAATGACAGCTTTTTTTAACCTCTGCTGTGTTTTTTTTCTAGCAACATATATGTTAAACCCTGTATTATTTATGTTTTTTGTATTTTGGCACAAAAGACTCTAAACCAGAGTATTACTTTTGACTCATAAAGTTTACTTTTAAAAACCAAATTACTTTGAATTATTTTCTGAGATGTAAATTTCTGTATCTGACTTTCTAACATGTGAGATCCTCTTTTCTGGATACACATTTAAAATGTTTAATTATTCCCATGAGAAGATTAGTAGATTTATTAAAAAATTCTGTGTTCCATGATTTCTGACATTCACACAAGACAAGAAGAAAATGCAGGAGGAGAAGCATTGTTGCATTGCCCTGTCTCATGTTGACACTGAGTATGAAAACCTGAGCTCCAGAGGGTGAGAGAAAGTTCAGACTTCATGCTAAATCAGTTTTGGGCCTCGCTCCCAGGATTTGCCAGCAATGCCAATTTCCATAGGACATAAACTCTAAGATAATGTTAACAGAAAGCAAACCACAGCCACCACACTCATTTTCCTTTGGCAGGGGGATCAGTTTAAATCCCCAGAGCAGTCAGTGCTGTATCCTTCCAGACAGCACTCTCTCCCTTAATCCAATCAGCACCATGACCAGAAGCTGCTAACCGCGCTGTGGATTTCCAGATTTCTGCTCTAATTGCTGGTCTGCAGGAACTTAAGGCACGAGACAATGGCTGGCACAGTCAGGTGGGTGAACATCTGCATTTCAGACTCTGCTTCAGAGGAGGGGAGAGTCTGGGAGAGGCTGCCCCACCAGAGCCCAGTGCCTCACTGCTGTTGGCATGCTCCTGGGAAGCAAAATAAAGGTAGAGGTGGGATGTGGATGTGGTGTCCTTGTCACAGTAGTTGTGACCCAAGCTTCCTCTTTGACCTCTGTAAGTAGGAAAGGCACTGGCTTTAGGATGTTACCACTCCATGTAATTGTACCAGAAACAGCGTGGCAAGCAGGACTAGGGGAGAGATTGTGCCCCTGTACTCAGCACTGGTGAGGGTGCACCTCAAGTCCTGTGTTCAGTTTTGGGTCCTTCAATAGAAGAAAGACATTTAGGTGCTGGAGTGTGTCCAGTGGAGGGCAACAGAGCTGGGGAAGGGCCTGGAGCACAAGTCTTGTGAGGAGTGGCCAAGGGAACCGGGGTTGTTAGGCTGGAGAGAAGGCTCAGGAGGGACCTTACCACTCTCTACAAGTATCTGAAAGGAGGTTGTAGAGAGGTGTGGGTTGATCCCTTCTCCTGGGTAACAAGAGACAGAACAAGAGTAGTTCTTGGTCTTGGGTTGTGCCAAGGGAGGTTTTCATTGGATATTAGTAAAAATTTCATCATGAAGAGGTTGGTCAGGCACTGGAATAGGCTCCCCAGAGAAGTGGTGTACCACTTAAAGACCTGGAGGTATTTAAAAGATATGTAGATGTGGCACTTAATGACACAGTTTAGAAGTGGACCTGTCACTGCTAGGCTATCATTTGGACTCAATGATCCTAAAGGTCATTTCCAACCTAAATGATTCTACTATTGTGGATTTAAATAAACCAGGAATTTAAATAAGACAAACAAACATCAAGTTGGTTGAATAACATCACTGAGGTATTTCTTAGTGGTTTTACTCCTGTTATGTACAGTCTCAATCAGAATAATCCTGACTAAAATTGTCTGGTCTTTGTTTTAGGTTGTATTAAGGCTTGCAGGAGGGAGTGCATGATCCCGTGCATATGGCAAACCCTCTGTGTCAGAGGTAGCTGCAGACAGAAGTTGTGGCTCTCACCATGTGTCAGGTTTACCAGATGTAGGGACAGACAGCAGGTTTACCACTGTCATCCTCTCTGTGAAGGAATGTATAGCAGCTGACTGACCTGGTGCCCTGGTGTATCCCACAGGTCAGTGACATGCTGTGCAGAGCAATGTTTCTTTCTGGATTATATTTACCTTCTGCTCACTTTAAGCCACATTTTGCTCTTTTGTATATAACATACTTTAACAGGAAACTGAGGCTTTTTTTTTTTTTTCCTGTAGCATATCTTTTCCAATAGCTGAAATAAGTGCATCCAGCTATATTTTTCATCCATTTCTCTATCTTTTCCTTCCCACCAATATGTCTGACAACTATTATCTCTTGGATGAACCTTTACAATAGCTGTTATATCAACACTGCTCTTGTGAAAAGTGACCAGGTCTCCACAACATACCTCCTGCAGAGATGCCAGGGTCATGATGAACATAAATACTGTTACTTACTGTGCTCAGCTATGGACAGAATCCAAACAAACATCTCTGGTGACTTGCTGTCAGGAAGGCTTTGGAAAGTCCTTGAGGCACTTCTGCAGTACTGCACATGAAAGAGCTGAAGGAAAAGGATTTCTCTGTGCTAGAGTTTTCCAACACAGAGCAGCATTGTTTCATATCTTAGATGAACACCAAACAATGTCCAACAAGTGATGACTTCTGAAGTTTAACCTAATTTGTTAAGTGGGTAAACCTATTGTTTAGAATAAATACTAAAACAATCAGTGGAAGTAGCCAGTCTCCCTAAAGGATATTATTAGAGAATGAATGAATTATTAAAGGGAGTATGTTTGTTCTGGATCCCACTAAAACCAAGCTCTCACTGACATCCTTCCTTTTATCCAAAAAAAGTCATTGCTAAGGGCAAGTCAAAGATTTAGAGTAAAGACTGCAGATATTTTAAGTACAAAAAAAAAAAAAATCAAACTTGTGTATGTAATTAGCAACATCTGCAAAGAGAAAGTTAATTTTTCTTTCCATGATGCAGAAATAAAGATTTATTTTTGCCAAAATGCTGCTATTTCTTTGTATTTCTTTCCTCCTGTCTTTGTTAGCTAGCTCTATGCTATGGTTCCTCGTGGTTTGTCTGGGATATCGAGAAGCATGTTCAATTAAGCCAATGAGGGGAGCACTGAGAAACAGATGTGGAGAGCCCCCAGCTAATTGGGCAAGCGAACTGCTGGAAGCACAGAGCTGAAAGGGCCAAGTGTGCTCTTGTTTTCTGATCTCTGGCAT